TAGAAGAAAAATATAATGAAACAGAAACTTAGATTTAACAATTATATATATTTTTGGTTTTAAACATGTATTTATATCTCCTGTTCTCTGTTTCACTCCCCACACACCCGGATCAGCCAGGGCTAGGCGAGGCTGAAGCCGGGAGCCAGCTACAGAGTTTGGGTCTCCCATATGGATGGTAGGGACCCAAGGACTTGGGCCATCACTGCTGCCTCTTGGGGTGCACATTAGCAGGAAGCTGGAACAGAGCAGAGCCAAGACTCAACCCCAGGCACCCCGAGACGGGACGCAAGTATTCCATGCAGCTGTGCCAAATGACTGTTTTTAAAGCTTATTAAACATTGTTGTATTAAGTTCTTTACTGCTATAATTTCATTTGATCTTCACAGTACTCTTTTTTTATAATACATATTTTATATGTGACAACTAAGGTTCAGAAAGTTATAAATGACTTGGTCAGGACCACCAAGTAAATAAGTTACAGAGCTGCTAATTGAGCCCAGACATGTATATCTCAAAACCATGGTTTTTCTTTTTTTAGCTTGTGATTTTGTAGAAATGTGAGTAAGACGTAGTTCCTTCCCTCAAGGAATTTTGGCGCCCATTGGATGATAAGGAAATGCTATAATTCAAATCAAAATATAAATACTGCTTTGAAGAGATTAAAAGATCTCATAGTGCATTTTCTGGTGCTGTAACAGAATATGTGACGCTGGTAATTTACAGTGAACAGAGTTGTTTGTCTCGGAGTTCTGGAGGCTGGGAAATCCAAGAGCATGGTGCTAGCATGTGGTGAGGGCCTTCCATGGCAGAAGGCAGAAGGGCAAGAGAAGGCAGAGGCTACAGAGAGCAAGGTTGGACTCGCTTTTGTAACAAATGCACTCCCTTGGTAACTAAGCCACTCCCGGTAGCAGCATTGATTCCTACATGAGGGTGGGCTGCACCTCCCAATACTGTTGCCTTGGGGATAAGATCCCAGGACAGGAACTTGGGGACATTCAAGCCACAGTAGCAGAAGGTGATGTGTGTGTGTGTGTGTGTGTATGTGTGTGTGTGTCGATGATGATAAAGCAGCAGGTGATGTGTGTGTATGTGTGTGTGTGTTGATGATAAAGCAGCAGGTGATTGTGTGTGTTTGTGTGTGTGTGTGTGTGTGTATGCATAAATGTTGAGGATGATAAAACATTTCCATAGGGGTCTTCCAGAAAGCTGAACCTTCAAGGCAGCAGCATTTGCCCTGGATGATTATAACCACATAGAGGTTATTTTCTAAGGAAGGGCTTTTCTAATGAAAGAAGGCAGAGTGAGATGAAGGCATCTCACAGGAGGTCATTCATACTCCTTCATACTCCAGCATTGCAATGTTTGTAAGATTTCTGGGGACCAGGTAGCCTGGTGATATATCTGCCAGCTACAATTGTAATCAACCCGTCAAAGCAAAGAGGGTCACACACTGAATGTGAATGAGATGTAAATAACGTTGTGAATTAATTTACATGCAATTATAGAAAATGAGATAAGTGACCCCCCTGCTCCATTCAGGAGAAATTCTTTGGTAAGCAAGAAAATGAGCTGGCCTAGAATTGAAGGGGAAGGTGCAAATGATATTTTCCACCTCACTTTCAGTGTTAATTGTGCTGTGCTGGTCAGTGGAAATCACTGCATTCTTCAAAAAAATTTGATAAATTTGATAACTGGAAAAGCAGATGAGGACACTGGGAACCGGGAACCCTCTTGATATCTGGAGTACGAAGTTCATGTGTGTTGGCTGGGTAGTTCTGAAGGTTTGTTGTCAGAAATATTTCTGTGTCTGGGGCCTAGGCCACCACCTGTGACTCTGGCAGCCCCTGTGAGAACTGGCTGGAGTCCCAGCTGCTCTACTTCCAAGCCAGCTCCCTGCTAAAGCACCTGGGAAAGCACTGGAAGATGGCCCAAGTACTTGGGTCCCTGCTACCCATGTGGGAGGCCTGGATGGAGCTCCTGGCTTTGGTCTGGCCCAGCCCTGCCTATTGTGGACATTTGGGGAGTGAGCCAGCAGATGGAAGCTTTGCCTCTCTCTCTCTTTCTCTCTCTTTCTCTGTAACTCTGCCTTTCAAATAAATAGGTCTTTTAAAAGAAGAAATATTTCTGTGTTAATCATCAAGTAGTATGTAACTGGTCAGAAAGGACTGCTTTGGGGAAAATTAGGTTCAGACAAATCTACTGGCACCTGACTCAATAGAAATGCTTCTACGAAGTTCACGCGTCTCCGTCTGGCTGTTGCCCTGAAGTTCTGATCTGTCACTGAAGCTCAGGGAAGCAGCTGCCTGCTCCGGGAGCTTGCTGACCTGTGGTGCATCAGTCTCTGGTTCAGTGGCTCTAAAAACTTCTCTGGGCATGAGGATTGCCTGGGTTGGAGGTTGGTGCCTGTTTTAAGTGCAGGTTCCTGGACCACCCCCAGAAATTGATTCAACAGGTCTCATAATCTGAATTTTAAATGGATTATTTCCCTTGCTGCTGATGCCCTTAGAGAAACCCTGCCCTAGACTCCGCTCTCTACAGCGGTAGCCCCCTGAAAACACGTGATCATATTTCTGACCAGCTCCGTGGGTCATATTACTTTAATTCTGTTTGTACTTTAATCAAATCGTGTTTCCCTCTTTCCCACAGCACCAGGAAAATAGAAAAATACGGCATCCCACACCTTTGGTGAAGCAAGGGTCCACAGAAACCGCCACCATCAATTCAGAATGAGGGCTTTGGAGGTTCTCACCTCCTCAGAAATTTGGCATTTCAGAGGGTCTTTCAAGAGCAGTGATGGGGGCTGGTGCTGCAGGACAGCAGGCTAAGCTGCTGTCTGCAGTGCCAGCATCGCAGGGGCACTGGTTCAAGTCCTGGCTGCTCCGCTTGGATCCAGCTCCCTGCTGATGCATCTGGGAAGCAGTGGAAGATGGCCCAAGTCCTTGGGCCCCTGCACCCACCTGGGAGACCTGAATGAAACTCCTTGGTTTCCAGCTTTGCCTGGCTGTTGTGGCCATTTGGCAAGTGAACCAGTGGATTTCTCTCTCTCTCTCTCTCTCTCTCTCTCTCTCTCTCTCTGTAATTCACACTTCCAAGATGCAGCCTAAAAAGAGTGGCAATGCAGAATGCTAGCAGGCTGTCCAGAGTCAGCGTGTGGTTTGTGTCTGATGAGTGCCCGTGCCAGTGGAGACAGCCATGGGCGCCATGGACCTGCACACAGCCCAAGTGCTCTGTGGAGCTCACAGCACAGTGCTTTTTTCTACCCCTAAATACCTTCCTAAAAACAAATATAGATTAAATATTGTTATCTATGTTTCTAAACACCTCATAGGAATTCTTGTAGATTTTCTGTCAAGACATGTTTTTAATCAGCAGATACAAAAATTACCATAGCTGTCACGTGAAGGCACTTCACCTGCAGGTTGTAAATCTTTCGTTCATTCAGCAAAGGCCCACAGGGTCCCAGGCAGCCGGTTGGGCTCTAAAACAGACTGAAGGGAAATCCTCATCCTGATGACTCTGTATTTTTTTTTAAAGATCTGTGTGGGGAGGCGTTGGTGGTATAGTGGCGAGCAGAGCTGCCTTCCCAGCTCTATATGAATGTAAGCTCCTTTACCTGCTGTAATTTATGCTTACAACTATACTCTGCTTACTAAGAACAAAATGCAATGATTCCTCAATAAAATGACACAGACTAGAAAATATGTTTGCAGTTCTTTGCTCTTGGTTGCAATGCTTGCAACTATGTTTTAGTTGTATTGTTTCCCAGTCGTATGTTTACGTAGCAAACCATATAAAAACACAGTGGTGATTTATGTAATTCAGACTTTGATTTGAATTTGAACTTCACTGGCTTCTCCCCTTTCTCCTCTTCTGTCTGTGCCACTCCATCAAGCTCTACCCATTCAGACAGGATTAGCTGTCACAGAGCAGGCGATGCAGCTGTTTTCCTGCACAGCATGGCCTGATACTGCCAACAACTTGGAAAATAATTGAAGTGATGAATGCTACTTCAGATGCATCCTGTCATGTTGCAAACCTGCAGAGTCGCATGCATCCTTATCTGGTGTCTGAGGTCCTGTGGTGTCTTTGGGCATCAGTCGACAAAACAAAACACACAACACACCTTGCTATTACTGCTACTAAAAGAAATGTTGAATGAGCCTTCCCTCTTAAGACTCGGGATATGCTGCCCTGGACCCTTGTCGCTGTAGTTGAGCTCATCTGTGTGCCTGGAGAAGCGGGGAAGAAGTTTGAGCATCACCATGATTTATGGGGAGGCAGTAATAGGCTTCTACTGAATGCTAATTACTGCGGAATTGTTTAGGGAGACTGTGCAAGAACGGTTGGCTTGTGGTGAATTAGTCACTAGCTCTATTGAGATGGACTGAAAGTATAGACCCAAGTCATAAAGGCGCCCAAATCCTTGGGATCGATGGCCAAACTTGTTTACGGCTCATGAGAATGCCCCAGTTGTGCTGAGCGGTAGGAGATGAGTTTGCACAGATCCCAGAGATGAGTGCAGTTCTGCCTGGAAGTTAAAGCTTCCAGCTGCTTGAAGATGAAAAGGACGGGCAGACTGATTGTTCAGTGAGCTATCCGAGCTGTTTGGCTCCTAGATCTGCAAAGCTGTTCAGGCCGCCCGTGATGTGAGAGCATAGAAAGCCCTGGAAAGAGCCCTAACCCGAATCCGCTGGCCTGCCTTTGCCTGTGCATCGAGCTTTCTGGCTGTCCACACACATAAGCCTCAACCTTCATCTCCCAGCAGCGCAGAGGGTGGCTTTGTGGAGAGGCGATCTTCCGGCTTCACAGCGAAACAAGCGCCTGCCTTGGGAAGCTTTCCTTGGGTCACAGGCAGCTCTCTTTCAATTCCCAGCTACCTTCCTTCTTTATTTCCATTGCCAGCACCAAGACGAGGGGAGTTAATGATTCATTTGCTCCCAGCGACCTTTTGAATAACTGGACTGCGATGTATCGGTGAGGCGCTTAGCTCCCCCGCGCTCCCCCTCTCCCTGGCCTGGCGTGGCTTTAATATTTACAGCCTCCTTGTCGGGCTACATGCCTGAGCGCCCGAAGCAAGCAAAACACTGCTTGCCTCTCCCTCCCCGGTGTTGGGGAGCTGTTTCATCCAGCTTCATTCCTTCCTTCTACATCACGCGGGAGGCTTGCCTCCTGGCCGGGACGAGTTCTTCCTGAGCGGACTGTGGAATCCGTTCACTTCGCCAACACAGAAGGATGGATTCTGACTCCGACTCACCTTTTAACTACTCCTGGCCTTCCTTTCCCAAAATGAAGATTCGCCGAAGGGCATCCAAGCAAGGTAGATCGCGGTATCTTTTCTTTTCCCCAGAGCCAAAGTGGGACGACTTCATATGCTCGCCTTTCTCCTTGTTTCTTTGCCAGCCTGTTTTGGGATGAAGCACATGTTTATACACGTCTTTAGAAAACTCTTCTCTGTAGAAATGTTTTGCAGGTAGACTTCTGGGGGGAAAATCCTCTTTCCTCTTCTGTTCCTTTCTCTTTGTAGCCCCCTTGGTCTTAGTATGCGGGAGTGACTCTGTTAAAAAAATGATAGTTTAGTTCAAGGTCAATGTTTTGGATTCATTTAATCAGAGTTACCTTGGAGTTACCCTGACAGTAAAGAGTCCTGTTGATTTAAACATTTCCAGTCCTCCTGGGATATACGGCACATGACGCATGTGTTCCACCCCCGCTTTCTGCTTTTGTTTTAGTGTGCGAGCATATGGTTATTACATCTTTTGTACATAAGCAATGCTGTTTTATTGACTTTTTCAGTTGTTAGAAGGAGGAGAATTTCAAATACTAATTTCAACAGAAATTATAACATAAAGCTCACTAAAAATAATCACCAAGCCTGCAAAATCATTTAGCTCAGAGGAAGAAGATCCACTGATTGGTAGTGGGATTAATACTGTGGTGGGCTTACATTATTGCCTCTTTCTTGCCACCCTCTCTGTGGTCAAGCCTCGGACACCAAGGAGCAGGCCGAGTTCCGGGGCAGTGTGCTGCCCTGAGTCGCTGCTGGGCTTAGCAAGTGGCCGTTGTTGGCTTCTGAGGGTTAGAAAAGCAAGAAAGATGGTGAGGAGTCCTTCCTACCTCTCTCCTTGGGTAGGGACTCCCGAGATAATATCTGTGATGCACTCGGACAAGGAATATCCGCATGAGCTTTTGCTGGCAGCACAGGTGGGCTTCTGAGGCGTCCCTGCTGCGTGCTGCTGTGGGACCAGGCCTGCCTCGTAGAGCAGAAGGACTTCCTGTGCCACCTGCACTTCGGCCAGCCTAGAATGCACCCCAGCTTCAAGGATCTTCTTCTTTCCTTCTAAAACAGAATGGAAGTGGTTGCTTTTTTGTTGTTGTTGTTTTCTCTTTGGCTTTGAGCAAGGCCAGTTCCAGGAATAAGGTGAATTGGCCGGCCAGGGTGAGGCTTCAGAGTGAACACATTTTGGGTTCTGCTCAACTGAAATTGCGCCGGGGACTTGATTAGCTTGGATCCATGCACTATTTTCTTGTTACATTTTAAATGCTTTTTTTTTCCCAAGAAACCTTTTATGTAAGGAATACAAACTTCATGTGTTTCCTAAATACAACTTCAGGAACATAGTGATTCTTCCCACTGTACCCACCCTTCTTCCTCTTCGCTCTCCTATTCCCATTCTTATTTTTCACTAAGATCTATTTTCAAGTAACTTTATACACACACATTTAATTCTATAATCATTTTCTTCTTAATTTAGATCTATGAAAACGGTTCTTTCCATTTTATTCATTTTATTGATGTCATAAGAAAGGGATTTATACAAATAGTATTTTAACAGAAAAGCCTGTGTATCTCTGAGGGATAGAGGTATATATTAAAGGGCCATGATAAATGGGTTAAGGAAATGGTAAATACTTCATTATATATAAATAAATATATATGAAATATCAAAATATAATAAAAATATACTTACCATATATAAATATATAAACAAATATATAATTTAAATATAAGTAATTTATAAATAATAAACAATAAATGGGTTAAGGAAAAAGATACACACAAGGGAACACAGCATGTGTTTGTAAAAGCAGGCTTGTGTGCCAATAGAAAATGGAGTAAATGACAACAATGGGCAAATCTCAGTTTACATGGGTGTTTGCCTGTGCTGTTGTGATTCGTCCAGCTTTCCTGTAAACTTGAAAGTATTCCCTAGAGCAAACTAATAAGGACACTTCAGGTACTTCTAGGAGGGCAGCTGTACCCTACAGTGTAATACCTGAGGGTGAGCGTGAGTGGCCCTGGTACCCTGAGGTCTCCCGAGGGCAGGAGCTGTTCTGTGCGACTTGAAAACCTCTGGGCAGGTACAGGCAGGAGGTGTCTGCTTTGTGTGGCTTTGTTTTCTACTCTCTGACTGACCAGCAGCCCGTGCCTGGGACCTGGACAGCCTGGAGGTGGCCAGGAGGCCTGTGACAGCCTGGGGAGGCCAGTGCACTTGCAGGGGCTGCGTTCACCACGCTCTTGCTTTAAATCCAAAGTTGGAGCACAGCCAGTTTGAGCTTTAACAGAATCTAGTCATCACAGAACTATGTATAAATTAAACCCGATTCAAGTGAAAGCAAGTACCCAGGGTATGAAAATGATTAACTATTTGCTGCTGACAAACAAGGGCCGAATGAAAACCAGGTTGGTAGCAGAAGGCTGGGGTGGGTAGCTTTTCTTTTTCATTCAGTGATAGTGTGGTCGTTGTGAAGAGTGAAGTCGACGGGTGGAGTCCCAGGACCTACACCTGCTTTGAGACAACCTGGTCCAGCCAGCCCATTTTGTAGAGGACCCTGGAGTGATGGGAATTATTCCTGTGTTCAGCAAGCATTCCTGTAGTGCCAGGCACTGTCCTCACCTGCAGGGCCCTCAGCATTGGCTCCCGGAAGCCAGATGTTCTAGTGGTAGAAAGAACAGGAAATACGATTGTCCTCCCAGATGACCAGTTTGTGGAGAGCCGCCATCTTTCCGCTTGTAGGGGATGGTAGCGGTGCTGCAGTCGTCCTCACAAACTACGGTGGCTTGGACGCCTCATACTTTCCCCTCTCATCCTGAGATGCAGATTCCAGTCTCCTGGGAAGTTGCTGAGGGGGCTTTCAGGACTTGCAGTTTCTGGCCCTTTGCAAACCTCACTTGCATTTGGTCAGGAATCTCCTGTCTTTGATTCCCTGTTTTTATTCCCCTGCCCTGACCCTCTTGTTAGTGCTGGTTTTCCTGCTCTCTGACAAATGCTGTGTGGACAGGGAGTGGGCACTGAGAGCGAGCACTTGGTAACAAGGACAGCATCATTCGCACAAACTCACCAACACCATATTTCATCTAAAAAGTGTGCCTGCTTGTCGCTCCCCCTCTTCGTGGAGGAACGACACAGGACCCTGCGCTGTTCTTTCGTCTGCTCGGCCCTCCCCGGGTTTGCTGCTGGTTCTTCCCGGGTTGGCTACTATCCCTTCCACCTCCGTGGAAGGGCAGTTCCCCCTGGCCACATTCCCCACTTCCGCAGGGGAGCGGCACACCGCCGGCCGGCTTTCTCGGGGGCTGCACGGGTTCCCTTAGATGTTCCCCATAGATGTTCCCGGTGCATGCCGTCTCTCTCCTCCTTTATAGTCCTCCTCCGCCAATCCCAACTCGGCTGCCCACACGCCGAGTACGCTGCTCTCCAATCAGGAGCAAGTCCTACAGTTAATTGGTTGAACTGGAGGCAGCTGTGCGGAAGCTGTTTACTTCTCTCCCAACGCCATGTTGTGGGAGAGCAGATGCATAGAATAAGTCTTAATTTCAGTAACTTAGTCCAGTCCGGATTGCTCCCCACAGATCCCCCTTTCTTTTTATTTTTTGGCGTTGATACGCGCCTGTCTTCGGTGTCCCGCGGCACACACTCTGCTCTACTTGCTAGAGTTGCCACAGGCTCTTACAAGTCCTATCAGGCAAACCGAATCCGGGTCCTCTCTTCGCCATGTTGTGAGGAGGTTTTTAGGCGCTGATGCGTGCCTGTGTTCGGTGCCCTGCAGCGCATGCTCTGCTCTGCTAGAACTGCCTGCAGGTGTTTACAAAACCTATCAGGCAAACCGAATCCAAGCCTTCTCATTGCCGTATTGTGGGGGAGACTTATTAGTGTTGGTTTGTGCCTATCTTCGGTGACCTGCAGCTCATACTCTGGTCGAGCTGCTTGCTGGTGCTTACCGCCTTAAATCAGGCAGACCGAATCCAAACTTTCTCGTCGCCATGTTGAGGGGAGGCCTTTCTATTTCTCTATTTCTCTATCTCCGGGCATTCCTGTTTCTCCCATTTTACTTCTATCTGCCAACATTCCCATTTCTCTCACTCCACTTCCAAACTTCTGTTTCTCTTATCCCCGCAGCTTCCCGCTGCCTCGCGCTGCCGGCAGCTTCACGGCTCCGCGCAGCTTCCCGGCACCTCGCCCCGCCGGCGGGTTCCCGGCTCTGCGCGCACGCTCCGCGGTCTCCACGCTTAACCCTTTCGCGTCTGAACCACGGCCTACGCCAGCCCCGTTCCCTATCTATTCACGCCCCGTGCTCTCTCTGCACGCGGCAGCTTCCGTGAGTAACACAGCGTAGCTCACGTGTCCGCCACTAGCATTCAATCTAAGTTCCCCGGGCTAGCCTGGCGAATTCAACCCAGCGTACGTCTCCGCCCCACGATTTGGCTTCCCGTCCTTTGCTCCCCGGGCTAATCAGACGGATCCCAACCTGGCTCACGTTTCAGCTTCTAGGTTCAACTTTTCACCCCCTATTCCCGGGCTAACTTGAGAACCCCAAAGTGGCTTCCGTTTCCGCCTCGGCCTGCCCCCCGCGGCTTCAATTTCCCTAACATTTTTCTCTACCCGGTATGTTTCCCCAAGCTTTCCTCCAACGATATTCCTCCCTCATTTCTCCTGGCCTCTCCCCACAGTCCGCGTCCGAGTCTGTTTGTTCTAGCTTTCACTTTCGCTTTCGACCTTAGAGATTTCTCCCAGCTTCCCCCCGTAGTCCGTATCCGAATCTATGCCTAGGCTTTCAACAGCTTCCTCCGGCACCCTTTTCGGCCGGCTTTTCCCTAGGCTGTTTGCTAATCTCTCTCTCCGGTATTTTCCCAGTTCTTCCCGTTTCTTCCCTCCTAAGTTTCCTATCCGTTCTAGGTTTCCTATCCGAGTCACGGCACCATTATGTCGCTCCCCCTCTTCGTGGAGGAACGACACAGGACCCTGCGCTGTTCTTTCGTCTGCTCGGCCCTCCCCGGGTTTGCTGCTGGTTCTTCCCGGGTTGGCTACTATCCCTTCCACC